CCCCGCCCCCCCGGGCCCGGCCCTCTTTGGCCTCTGGCTGGCGGTCTGCTCACTGGCACTAGTTCTCGGTGGTCGTGACTCGGCCTCACGTAGACGATATTGAACTCACTGGCTCTTCCTTGGCAGTCCCAACCAGGTTGCAGAGAAGGTGGCCTCCAGGATTGCTGAGGGCTTCAGCGACACTGCTCTCATCATGGTGAGTGGCTGCGCGTGCTGCTCCCGGGCGGGCTGTGAGCACCTCTGGCCCATGGCAGCTCTCCGCACGGTCTTACCGCAGCCTCCTGCAGACACGCCGACTGGCTGTGGTGTGAGCAGCTGCGGTGCTGTGCTGGGATACCCAGGAGAGGACAGTCCTTCAGGGTCCAAGTCCTTGGAGTGAAGGCCCTAGGCAGCCTTGCCGAATCAGAAATGGGTCGGGAAGGTCTGCAAGTACATGCTTCTGACATACGCGCAAGGGTGAGAAGCCTTGCCTTAGAACGGCCAGTGCAGCCAGGGCAGGGGAGGGAGGGGCCGGGAGCGTGGGCGGTGTACCCCGGTCTGGTACAGCTCGCCGTCAGCCGGGTCTACGGGAGGGAGGGGGTAGCGTTTGGAGCTCCGCTCTCATGGAGGAACACCCGCGTGACTGAGACCACGCTCTCGGCACGCCCTGCGTGTGGGCCTCACGTGCAGGAAGGGCTCCGAGGAGGGCCTGGGTGGCCCTGCGGGCGTCTGCTCACCGCCCCCGCCTGTGCGCAGGTGGACAACACCAAGCTCACCATGGACTGCGTAGCGCCAGCCATCCACGTGTATGAACACCACGAGAACCGGTGGCGGTGCCGGGACCCACACCAGTGAGTGCGTCCTCCAGAGGCGGCCCGGCGTGCGTGTCCCCACTGTGGGAGGACGGCTTCCTAGCGGTGGCGGGAACCCGAATGACCACCGGTCCTCCCTCCCAGGCCCCACACGCGCCTGCATCCCAGGCGTGGGGTTTGTCTCCGGTCACTCGGAAAGCTTCCGTCACTCGCCTCGGGCTCCCAGAATTCCGTGGGGGTGTCCTTCACAGGCAGCCTTGCGCGTCCATGTCCCCTGTGCGCGTGCTCCTCCTCCCCGGTGTGGGGCGCGGACGCCGTCCGTTCTGAGAGCCTGACTTCTCCGTGTGCCCCGCAGTGACTACTGTGAAGACTGGCCCGAGGCCCAGAGGATCTCGGCGTCGCTCCTGGACAGCCGGTCCTACGAGACGCTCGTGGACTTCGACAACCACCTGGACGACATTCGGAATGACTGGACGAACCCCGAGATCAATAAAGCCGTGCTGCACCTGTGCTAGGCCGGCGGTGCGACTGGCCCCGGGGCACCCACTCCACTGAAGAAGAAAATCTATTTTTAAATGCAGAGTATCTCACCGCCCGTGTGAGAGCTGGCGGCTGTAAGACCTGGCCTGTGCCTTGCAGGAGGGCAGAGTGTCCGTCAGTCGTGACACCAGGTCTGGCAGAGGCACGGACTGCCCACGCTGACCAGCCCGTGGACTCCTGCCCGCTTGTATGTCGCTGTACCCTTCCAGGTCAAAGCTGCTCTGCTTGTCCGAGATGGTTCCTATTAAAACAGTTTTAACTAACCTTTTATAATCTGAAGAGCATGCTTTTTAAGGCTTTAGAACTATCTTTAAAAAAAAAAAAAAAGCCCCCATCTTACACGTCAGCGTCTTTTGTCCTGAGTAAGTCAGTGTCTTCCAGATATCCTGGGATGGGGGCGAGCTCAGGGAGTCTTGGGAAGGAGCCGGGGCCGGCACAGCACGGCTTGGCGCGGGGTGGAAACCGCTGGCAGCGGGAGTGTGGATCGGAGCGTGCCGCGAGCTCCGGAAACAGCTCGCTTCCTGCGAAGCTGAACAGGAGAGTCTGTTGCTGCCCTAGAGAGCCAGAGTCCACGCTAGCCCGGACCGACTGGCGTGGACATCGACGTGCTCTGGTCTGTGCCTTCCAACTAGTGTTTTTGTATTCGAGAAAATGAAACTTGGACTCCTCGAGTCACACAGAGGACTGTCTGTAATTTTTATATGTGGCTTTCTATCAATAATTCAGTCTGGGGAAATTGGTTTTTCCTCTTGTACGAATTTTGTCCAGAGGTGTACTTCCGCTATCTTCTCTTCGGCCACAGGAAGGACGTGTAGCCTTGGTGTGGCCTCTGGCAGGGCCGTGTTATGGCATTCCTTACTTCAGCATGCAGGAAAGCTTAGACACCCCCCCACGTACAATAAACGTGCTTTATCGATCCGCCACATTCTCTTCCCTTCCTCCAACAGTTCTTACCTTTAACTCTTTAAACTGCTGTTCTTCCTCGTGGGGGACAAGGACAAAGGAGTCACGTGCCATGACACGCTTCCCACCCCAGCTGTGGGACGGGGTCACTGGGCGCTGTCGTTCGGAAGGGGCCCGCGTGTATGCCAGAGGGAGGGGCATCGCCTCCAGTGTCCTGGGACTGGCCAGGCCTGTGCCACCGGTGTGGCCTCTGGCAGGGCCGTGTTATAGCATTCCTTACTTCAGCATGCAGGAAAGCTTAGACACCCCCCACGTACAATAAACGTGCTTTATCGATCCGCCACATTCTCTTCCCTTCCTCCAACAGTTCTTACCTTTAACTCTTTAAACTGCTGTTCTTCCTCGTGGGGGACAAGGACAAAGGAGTCACGTGCCATGACACGCTTCCCACCCCAGCTGTGGGACGGGGTCACTGGGCGCTGTCGTTCGGAAGGGGCCCGCGTGTATGCCAGAGGGAGGGGCATCGCCTCCAGTGTCCTGGGACTGGCCAGGCCTGTGCCACCCCCCGCCCGGGGCCCAGGGCAGCTGGCAGGGCTGCTCAGAATGGAGCAGACACTTTTGCAGTGTCATCCTTAACCCGCCATCTCTCAGTTTCCCCTCCTCACAGGAGTCTCCGGAGCACACGCTCGCCTCCGTTTTGGATTTGGACCCAAATTTAAGCCACATGGCGTTCCCTAGATCCTATCCTACGGCTGAGTCAGGCTTACATTTTCCGAAGAAATCATATTAAAAACCTAACATGATTTAAGCACTCCATTGCCTGCTGGTTATGGGAGCCAGACACCGCATGGCTGACCACGGTTCAAGTCTTGGACCCAGTGGCTTAAGAAACAGTCCAGGCATGTGTGTGTGCCCGAGACCCGAAACGGAGAAGGGACTGCCATGTGGCCATTCCCTACAGAGGCCCTGCCTCCTCCCGTGAGCACACATGCCTTCCAGCAAAAACAAAAATAACTGTAAGGAGAGGAAAATGTGTGGGGAATGCCAAAACATTCCAAAGTGCAGATAACCTGAAGCCACTGCAGACAGAGCCCCAGCTCAGCTCCTGGCCCTGTGCTGGGTCCCTGCCCTCTTGGTCTGCAGAGCTTTGCTGTGTGGCCTCTGGGCCTGCAGTCTCGCTGGCCCTGAGAACAGACTTCAGCTTTACCCACCCGAGATTTTGAGAGCCCGTTGGGGCCAGCAGGTGGTGTGGCAGTAATGTGTTGGCTCTCACATGGCTGGCCACGGTTCAAGTCCTGGACCCACTGGCTGGAAAACCATGCCAGGGACATGTGTGTGCAGGCCCAGGATCCTAGGAGGAGAAGGGATTGCGGGGTGGCCATCCCCCCTCAAGGATGATTTCTTACCTCTTCCTGTCTCTGTCTCCCCACCACGCCCTGAGGCAAAACCTCTTAAAAAAAAAAAAAAGCCACCCAAAACATGCCTACTGTGCTTTTTTATGGAAAGGGCTTAAAGAGTGACGCGCCATGTTGGAACGCTGCCTATTCAAGTCCGTTTTCTTGCTAACGCCTGAGTCTGGGTCACTTCGAGAACAAAGGTTTATTCCTCCCGGGATGGGATTCCAGGGACCACGTGTATGGGCATCATCCAGCTGCCTCATAACATGGCAAAGGGTGGGGGAGTCTTCACGTGTGTCTAAGCCCACCAGGCCCTGGGCCAGCCCGCAGCATGGCCGTTAGGGCGGCTGGATCTCACGGGACTGTGGTTGGAGTCCTAGACCCGGCAGCTTGGGCATCACTGGGCATGCGTGTGCATAGCCCAAGTCCTAGGAGGACAGTGGAGAAGATGATGGCATGCCCCCCAGGGGTGCTTCTCACCTCTCCCTGTCTCCAGTGAGCACAGTGCCTTGTTGCAAACAAAACCAATGCATTAAACCCTCCGAGCTTTACGCACCGCGGAGGCCGCGCCCTAAGCCCTCCCTCGCAACCTTGAGAACCGAATCAGTAGTGAGTGTTGGGACAGGTCAGACCACCACCTGTCAAGGTGGTTCGCGAGTGAAGGGAGGGTGGTTTAGACCGCTCCCGTCAGAGCCGGCCACACACTGCATTCTGGTGCTGGTTTCCATCTCTGCCGTAACCCATCCATCAGGCGGCGAGCAGGCCCTGACTGGATACGAGTACTGCTTCCGTGCCTCGCCTTTAAGAACGGAGAATACTAAACACGGAGGCAGGCAGTAGTTTCATAAAGAACAAGCAGCGTGCTTACTAAGGAAAAGCCGGTCGTTAATTCTACCGAAATGAGGTTGCTTTTCAGTGGAAGCAGCGCAGAAATGCTGGGTAACTCAGATGTTCAAATCCGTTCTCCAGGGGTCTGGTACTTTCAAGCCGCCTCAGTGTAGAAGCTCGTATAGTTAGCTTTGATCTGTTTTAACAGCTTATTTTTTCTGACTGTCATCTTCCGAAACCTGTCTGCATATCGTATCTCCCAGGTCTCACACCTCTTTGTCCTCAAAAGACAAATATTTGCTCCTGACGTTTCCCCTTTTCCGTGTTCTATCCTCCTGACCACAGTAGCTGCTTCGTGCACCTCGCGGAGGGTCGGGCGGGCCCAGGGAAGGCCGAGGGAATGTGGTGTGGGATCCATCTGCATCCCCCGTGGGCATGTGGCAATTGCAGTGAAATGAGCCAAGTTCAGAAATAGACTTCCGCTTTACTAATTGACGTTCCTGAGGCTTCCCATCAGCTCTCAGTGCCTCTTAAGCTTTGGTCTTCTCGGTTCAGTAAAAGCCTGGAAGGAAACGTTAGCGTGGGCCCTGCCAGCTCTCCGGGACGTGTCGTTTCCACATATCTCGGAATCAGGGCTAAGTAAAGATTTTGATCTTCTTAAAGTTGACCTGTTACTCCTTAAACTGCTTCCAGTTGACCTTGAATGGGATATAAAGCCTGGCTGGCTTTGCTATTTCTTGTTTTTTGCTTTTTTTTTTTTTTAGAATGATTTATCTAATTTTTTTATTTTTTTAATGGGGGCGGGCAGTGAGTAAGCAGGCCACCAGGGCTGGGACTCGAATCACACTTAGCCATGTGGAAGCCCAACACCTTAACCACCCCACCACCTGCCAGCCCCAGGTCTGCTATTTCTCAGCAATGAATTGTCCTTTTTCTGAGGAGCCTTCTTTTCAGTAGAGATGAACTTCTTGGAAGGGGCATTTCCTTGTTTCTGAAAGGCTGCAGTTGGAGAAGTATCTGAAGACTTCTTGGAAGAGGAAACCCAGTCCAGCTTCCGAACAGCCAGGAACGCGCTCTCCTTGGTCCTTGTCTTCGAAGTAGTGGCGGTACCTGCACAGCCTCCGGGTGAGTTTCCTGAAGGACACCTTTACTCGAACTTGTGTAGTCTTGGAAAGCAGAATAGGATCCTGTACTTAGTCCCGGATGGAAACGGTCGAGGCTCCCAGTCACCTGTAAAGAACTGTATTTCGGAATACTCCAGAAGCCCTCTGGGCAAGGCTCCTGCCCTCCCGGAGCCCATGGTAGTTGGGGACCTGGCCCCTGAAGGCAGGCCACCCAGGCTGGGCCCCAGCTGCCAACGATTGACGGATTGACGGCGCTTGAGGCCTCACAGGTGGCCTGGGGCTTGGTAGCCTCCAGGTTCTCCTCTCGTTTTTAACCTCAATACTACAACAGTTCATTATCCGAGCCAGCCCCAGAGCACAGAAGTTCAGCACTGGAAACCTGAGTCACACCTGGTCCACAGGGTTCGAGTCCCAGCCCTGGTGACTTGAAAAATGTACACATACTCCTGCCTAGGATCCTGGCAGGACAGAAGATGGAAGGGAAGGGGGTTGCTCTGTGGCCGGGTCCCACTGGGCCCTCTGTCGTGCATGTGCCCTCTGACAGTGATCAAGCTAGCTTATTTCTGAGCTGCTGTTCTCAAAAAGAATCTTCCAGCAGTGCGCCTGCCCCAGTCCTGGACAGCTCTGGAAGGCGGCACCGGTAGCTCATGTCAGCTAATGGCAGTGTGGTGGTGGCCGGTGAGAGCCTCCGCTGGGGGCAGACCCCAGGTCTGCACCTTTTAGTTCTGTAGAAGGCCATGGCTCGTGACCTCTCGTGTCTCCTCTGGGAACCAAGGAGCAAGGAACACCTCCTAGCAGGGATGCGTTGAGGAACTGAAGGGAGGTTGTGTATGCCAACGCCTTGGAGGATGCTCAGGGTTACACGGGAAGAGGCCCTCAATGCCCTACCACCCAGGCTGGCTGAGAAGCGCTTACTCTTCCTTCATGTACGTTTGTTGAACAGGCGAGTCGATGAAGCCACTCGTTCTTAAACGACCATAGCAGCTTATGTTTCTTCGACCTTTCCTTTTGTAGGT